AAATCAGATTGAAAATAGAGGGATTTCTCCAGACCTGGCTCTGGCCACAGCACAGCAAAGTCAGCAGGGGCTGAGAGATTTCCTAGCAGTGCAGCTCTTCTTCCCTGGGCCCCAAGGCCCTGCTAATGCATATTCACCCTTCTTCACCTCCAAATCAGTTCCCTAACATATATATTTTTAAAAGAAATCTAAGTCTTACTTTCAAAGCACACACTTAGTCTCAACTAGGGAATCAACAGAAGCAGAAGCGATTTTTTTTCCCCCTTCTTGACATCTGGCTTGCGATTGGCTGGAAGGGGGTCAGCTGACTTTGTCATTTTGTCTGTCCTGGATTGGAGCCGTCCCTATAACCATCTAGTTCCGAGTACAAACTGGAGACAGAAATAAATATTAAAGAAATCATAGCCCGACCAGGTAAAGGCAAAGGGATGAATTCCTACTTCACTAACCCTTCCTTATCCTGCCACCTCGCCGGGGGCCAGGACGTCCTCCCCAACGTCGCCCTCAATTCCACCGCCTATGATCCAGTGAGGCATTTCTCGACCTATGGAGCAGCCGTTGCCCAGAACCGGATCTACTCGACTCCCTTTTATTCGCCACAGGAGAATGTCGTGTTCAGTTCCAGCCGGGGGCCGTATGACTATGGATCTAATTCCTTTTACCAGGAGAAAGACATGCTCTCAAACTGCAGACAAAACACCTTAGGACATAACACACAGACCTCAATCGCTCAGGATTTTAGTTCTGAGCAGGGCAGGACTGCGCCCCAGGACCAGAAAGCCAGTATCCAGATTTACCCCTGGATGCAGCGAATGAATTCGCACAGTGGTGAGTTTTACAGCTCCGAGATATAAATTAAATAAACTGAACTGGCTTTATGACCGGCTTCCCTAGAAGAACGGGCGGAGAGAGTTTTTTATGGCCCCATAAAAACAATCACGCTCGTCTCCTCGCCGACGCCGAGACAGGGCCCCCTCTTCTGCCCCCTCTGCTCGCCTCCCGCTTGCTCGCAGGGGCCTGGCCCCCTCGGCCCCTGACGGATTGGAGGGCTCCAAGGCAAACTGAGGGGGCAGGAACAGGGCAGGGTATGAGGGGAGGGGGCAGGGGGTGGGGGAGCCCACCCAAAGTCAAGTCAGGCTGAGAAGAAGGGAGGAGGGAGAATAGGGGGCAGAGAAGTGGGGAGAAGTTTCCAAGGAGCTAGGGTGCTTGGGGAGGTGGGGGAGCCCAGTTGTTGAGAAATGGGGCCCTCATCCCCAGGGTTTGGGATTTTTCAAAAACCAGTTTTTAGACTTACAGCTTTCTGCCTGGTTCTTGCCCCCCCCTTTCTTTGGGACACTCACCTACCAACATATGGTGGGGGACTGAATGAAGTTGGGCTCCTGGCTGTACCCCCAGTGGGGGTGGGGCAGGGCAAAAGGGAGAAGGCTGAGGTCCGAGGGGGCCCGTGAGCTGCTGGCCAAGTTGGGAGGGTCAGGACTTTGCTAGGCTAAATCGTCTACGGAGGATGCCTCGCTGATTGTTTTTAGTGTGTTTTGTGCCCGGATCTCTAGGGGTCGGCTATGGAGCGGACCGGAGGCGCGGTCGCCAGATCTACTCGCGGTACCAGACCCTGGAACTGGAGAAGGAATTTCACTTCAACCGCTACCTAACGCGGCGCCGGCGCATCGAGATCGCCAACGCGCTCTGCCTGACCGAGCGACAGATCAAAATCTGGTTCCAGAACCGCCGGATGAAGTGGAAAAAAGAATCTAATCTCACGTCCACGCTCTCAGGGGGCGGCGGAGGGGCCGCGGCCGACAGCCTGGGCGGAAAAGAGGAAAAGCGGGAAGAGACAGAAGAGGAGAAGCAGAAAGAGTGACCAGGACTGTCCCTGCCACCCCTCTCTCTCCTTCTCCCTTGCTACCCCCCCCCAATTCCCTCCTAATCACACACTCTATATTTATCACTGGCACAACTGATGTGTTTTGACTCCCTAAAACAAAATTAGGGAGTCAAATATGGACCTGAAAGTCAACTCTGGACCCCCTCCCTCACCGCACAAACTCTCTTTGACCACGCGCCTCCTCCTCCTTGCTCCCTCGCTAGCTCGTTCTCGGCTCGTCTGCAGGCCCCTTCCCCCTCCCAGGCCTTGGGGGCTCCGTCCCTGAACCTCGCTTCAGACTCCACAGATCTCCCTCCAAATGAGGACTTGGCCTCCCACCCCCTCGGCGCCTCCACCCCCGCCCCTGCGCAGAGAGCCGGCTCCCGGGCCGGGGCCTCCGCTCCGGGGCCTCAGGGTCCGGCCTGGCAGCCGCGGAGAGCGGTAGGCCCAAGGAGGGCGCGTCGTGGCCCCACAGCAACCCCCAGGGCCTCCCCGCAGCCCCTGCCCGGCCCCTCTGCCCCAGCAAATGCCCAGCCCAGGCAAATTGTATTTAAAGAATCCTGGGGGTCATTATGGCATATTACAAACTGTGACCGTTTCTGTGTGAATATTTTTAGCTGTATTTGTGGTCTCTGTATTTATATTTATGTTTAGCACCGTCCGTGTTCCACTCCCATCTTAAAAGGGGGGGAAAAAAAAAGAGGGAAAATTACAAAAAGAGAGAAAAAAAAGTGAATGACGTTTGTTTAGCCAGTAGGAGAAAAAAATAAATTTAAAAAATCCCCCTCGTGTTACCCTCCTGTATAAATCCGACCTCTGGATCCGTTCTCGAATATTTAATAAAACTGATATTATTTTTAAAAGTTTATATCGGGATTTCTGTTAATTCGCTCGTCCGCCGGCCTGGGGTGAAAGTTGGAGCAGGCTCCGAGCGCTCCCGCGTCTGCCCGCCGCCTGCAAGCCCCCAGCCCCCTGCGCTCGTCTTTCCCGGGAGCCCGGCGCAGAGCCGGGGCCTCCCCGGTCTCCTGGTGAACGCGCTAGGGGGGCTGGGAGGCCTCTCTGGGCTTCCCAGCGGAGCAACACACTCACCCCGCAAAAAAGGCCGCATAGGATCTCGTTGGGGGTGGGGGGCGGGAAGCCTGGGTTGCTCGGATTGGTTTCCAGCCCCACACAGGCCTTTCTTCCTGCCTGTGGTAGTCTGGGGTCCTCGGCTTCTGAACCCCGAGCCCCCAAGGGCCAGAAAAGAAGCATTCTTCAGGTACCAGGGTCTCCCCTGTCCACTCCCCGGAGTGAGGAGGGGGGCGCCGCGTGAGCAGCCCCCAGCCAGCGCCAGGCCGACTGTTGCGAAACGTGGCGGAGGCGGAGAGCCGAGGGGAAAGAGAAGACCGCGGGATTTGAGCCCTTCCGCAGGGATTGAGCGATTCAAGGACATCTCGAAAAAGAAAGCCTGGAAACTGAGCCTGCTCTGGGACTCCTGACAGGGCTGGGACAAAATTCCTTCTTCCTTACAGCCCCAGTCCCAGTCTGGTTCCTTACTCCTTCGCCTCTCAAACTCGGCGGGTGAGGAGCTCAGCCAGACCCTAACCTTTCCCCAGCTCAGGCCTTCTCTCCTTAAGCCCAGCCAGAGAAACCTGAGTGGACCTAGGGAGTGAGGTAGTGAGGGGGTCTCCCGGAGGGAAAAAATCCGCCAGAGTTTTCCAGACCTTCCAGATCCCCGCCAGCGCCCCCTCCAGCGCCTCCGCCAGCGGGGGTGGGGGGGTGGGGTGGGGGGTCTGGAGGGGGGCGTCTCCTGGCAGGGGCGGGGATTTCCTGGGGAGAGGCAGGCAGGAAAGAATAAGACTTGGGGCTAGGGGAGGGGGCTCGGAAAGGGGCCGAATGGCTGCGGAGCCCCTGGCCGCAGGCTGTGAAGGTTGCCCAGGCGCCTGCCCTGCCCACCTCCTCCATCCTCCACCCCCAGCCAGGTCCTTTCCACGCCTCCAAATAGCTCAGAAATTGCTCTCCTGCGGACCTTCTGTATCTAGGTCCCTGAAAACCTGTTCCAGAGGCCTTTTCCAAAAAGGGCACAAAACAGGCCTTTTCCTCTGCCCTGCTCATATAATATTTGTGGAGGCTTCAATCTTGCTTCTCCATGCCCTCAATTAACATCTATTTTCTATCCCAAGTATCTGGCATAGAATACACAGGGATGCAGAGCAGTCCTCCAAGCCCATTGTGTCTGGTTCTACACACACACACACACACACACACACACACACACACACACACAAAATTGCCTAGTTGCCACTCTGGGATCCCAGCATGGTGAGGTCTACTCAACTCCCCCCCGGATCCTCACCTCCAGGCTCATCCCAGAGTTCCCAGCACTTTCAGCTTCCCGACCCTCCCCCCTTATCTAGTTCTGTCCACCCAGGACCCCTCCTCCTCTGAGCATCCTGTCCACCTCTCCAGGGGTTGGGTTCACTTCCCCAACCTAACAGTCACCTCCTCAGCAGTAGCAGGGCCTTGGGGCCTCCAAGGAGAGGGACCTCGAAGCTTGGTTTAGAGAACCTGAGGTAAATCCCTTGGGATCTCCAACTTGGCCAGGGGCCCCCCTACCTAAATCTCCTTTCCTCAGCCATTTTTGAAGATTGAAAGGCTCTGGGGGTGGGGAGGCAAGGCTATCCGTTAGTTTTTGTATCCTAAACAAGACCTCATCTTTCCTTAAAATTAAATACAGTTTAAAAGGCCATTTCAAGGGTTTGTTGCAGCAACAACCAGCTTCTCTACAGGGTAGAGAATCCAGCGGTCTGAAGGCGGGCCGACAAGCCAGGCTGCAATTCCTCCAAGTGGGCACCAGGTGTCGCTGTGGGCTCGTTGTCCCGGCTACCCCCCAATTTCAAGAACCATTTTTTTTTCTCCCCCTTCTCTCTCTCTTTCTCTCTCACTCCCTCTCCCCCTTGGTTGGGCTTTGCCAACATATCAAGATGCGTTTCGCCGGCTTCCATCACTAACCTCCCGGAGGTCATCAAGCCAAATTTATGAGTGGCCGCTTGAGTCACGTGACTCTATTTAAGGCTCCCTTATTTGGGAAGAGCGCATAGGATAAAGAAAGAGATATCTCCACCTATAAATTGTGCACTTTGGAGAACAAAAAACCCCTCAACTTCAAAGAGTCACAAATCACCCTTAATCAAAAAGGGTGCAGAAATTTTTTTTTGGGCCCTCCCCGCCATGAGCTCCTACGTAGCCAATTCATTCTATAAGCAGAGCCCCAATATCCCTGCCTATAACATGCAAACTTGTGGGAACTATGGATCGGCCTCAGAGGTGCAGGCATCCAGGTACTGCTACGGTGGATTGGACTTAAGCATCACTTTCCCACCGCCTGCGCCTTCCAACTCTCTCCACGGGGTAGACATGGCTGCCAACCCCCGGGCTCACCCCGACCGCCCCGCCTGCAGCGCCGCGGCCGCTCCGGGACACGCTCTGGGCAGAGATGAAGCGGCTCCTCTGAACCCCGGGATGTACAGTCAGAAGGCGGCTCGCCCAGCGCTGGAGGAGCGAGCTAAGAGCAGTGGGGAGATCAAAGAGGAGCAGGCGCAGACAGGGCAGCCCGCCGGACTGAGCCAGCCACCGGCCCCGCCACAGATTTACCCGTGGATGACCAAACTGCACATGAGCCACGGTAAACTTTAGGACTTCATTTTGCGCGCTCGGGTCCGCCTGGGTTTTATAGGCCATGCGGGGCAAATAAAGAAAAAAAACCTGCGGCCATAAATTTTACGATCCAGGCATCAATGGCTCGTAAAACTGTCCACTAAAAGGCTTAGAGGCTGTGTGCGCCCAAATTTACGACGACATAATTGGATCATAGGAACAAAACGTGTATAAAAGGCAATATTCAATTTTTGGGGGAGAGGGAGGGAGTTAAAAAAATAGAGGGATCTGAAGGCTGAGGAGCGCGGGGCTCCAGAGCGGGGATCCCCCCGCGGCTCCCTCCCTCCCTCCCCTGTGGAGCCGGCTCGGCCGGCGCTGGCCGCTCCGGAGGATTCCAGCGACTCGGGAGGGGCGGGAGGGGGGTCCCCGGTGCTCGGATCTCGAGGGTGCTTATTGTTCGGTCCGAGCCTGGGTCTCCCTCTCCCCCCCACCCCCTCGGCCCCTCCGGCTGCTGAGTGAAGGCTGCGGCGGAAAGTTTCCTGCCAGGGCAGAGGCGCCTCTCCCGGGGCTAGGCTGGGCTAGGCTGGGCTGGGCCGGGCCGGGCCCGCCTGCGGCCCGCTGGGCCTGTCCTGCCCTGCTCGCCTCCTCTCCCTCCGGCGGCGGGTGGAGGCCTGGGCTGGGGTCGGGACGCTGGGGCGCTGCACGCTATTCACCCCTTCCTGGCTTGGGGGGCTTTATATTCCAGAGACGGACGGCAAGCGGTCCCGAACCAGTTACACGCGCTACCAGACCCTGGAACTGGAAAAAGAATTCCACTTTAATCGCTACCTCACTCGCCGCAGGCGCATAGAGATCGCCAACAACTTGTGTCTCAATGAGAGACAGATCAAGATCTGGTTCCAGAACCGCAGGATGAAGTGGAAGAAAGATTCCAAAATGAAAAGCAAAGAGGCTCTTTAGAGGCAGCAGGGAGGCCCGCAGATAGCGCCCCAAGCCCGCTTTGGTCCCCGCGCCTTTCCTTTTCGGTTGTCCTCTCTCTGTATTTTGGGGCAAGGGCGGGGTCTGCAGCACCCGCTCGGGGCCTCACCGACAAAAGCGCTTTCCCTTGGCACTCCGCATCCCCACCGACCCCAGGTTCCTGCGGGGCTGTCCGCGCGGTGCAGACTCCCCTCAGTTCTGCTCAGCACCGGCGGGGTGGGGGGGGAGGGGGGCGCCAGGGCAAGCTCCGCAGGGGCTCCCCAGAGGGCTGCGGCAGACGGGCTGGTGCTGAACGAACCGGGCCTGGGCCGCCTCTCAGGCTCCCAGCCCCAGAGCGGCCTGCGGGAATTAAGGTGGGCCCGGCAGGGACGCCCCCACCCTCCGGCCTCCCCTGTCCTTTGTTCCCAGCTTAGGCTGGCCAGGCGGCTGAGAGCTGGTGAGAGTGGCTATGCTTGGGGGAGTCCGGCGCCAGACTCGGGGTGCTTCGTTGTAGCGACTAAACTCCATGTTCGGTTTTTTAATGATTTGCATATGAAAGGGGGAGATGACTGAAGGTCTGCCTGGGGCCCCCTTGGTTGCCCTAGGCTCTCCAAACCTTCTCACCCATCCCTAAGCCCGGTAACCTCTCCAGCCTGCGCCCTCTGCATGCCCTCTCAGGCCCCTCCACCTCAGACCACTAGCTAGCTCAACCATGGGGTTCCCTGCCACTGGACCCCAGCAAGCAGTCCTAGAGGTTCCTGGCTGCCCACTAGTCCCTGCCACGACTCTCTGTGCCCTCCTGCCCCATCGCTGTTGTCCAACTATTTATTGACTCCAGGTCTTTCCTGAAACTATATTTTGTCATATCAAATAAAGACAAAGAGAGATCAGGACTAAAGATGCAGCGGTGCCTCTCTGTTTGGCGCATGTATTGGGTAAAAGTGTCTAAATGGGCTATGGAGTATAGGGGAGGCCCATAGCCTCTCAGCCTCTTTTTAAAAAGAATTTTTAGGAGCTTCTAGAGGGATTGAGAAGAGGGAGGTGAAATTGAGCTCCTTTCCAGATCCCTGGTTCCCAGATGGGCCTTTGGGGAAAGGGGAGGGCACCTAGGCAGTCTGTACTGGCTTTTCCCATGCTGTGGCTCTCCAAGGCTTTCGGCCTCTGCACCCCATTCCCACCTTGGCTGGGTGGATCTGAGGCCTCTAGACTGGCAAGCAGCCCCCACTGCATGCCAGAGCTAATCTGCAGGGCCTGGGGGCTCCGTGGCGCTCATACTCTCCGGCCCCGGACTCTGAAGATCTCTCCCAGAGCTCGGTGAGGGGCCGTGCTGGACATAGAGGGAGGGCTGAGCCCTCAGCCTAGAAGCCCACTTGGTCCCAAGAAGGATCCTCAGAAAGAGTTGGTACTGCTTGGTAAAGGGGTCTGGGGGAGTTGGAGGAAGTGTGTCTCAGCTTTTTAAGATCCTGGGGCAGATGGGAGCAAGGAGGGCAGCCTACAGCGTACCTGCCTGGCAAGAAATGCGCAGACTGTTTCCCCCACTTCTAGGGCCTGAGGCTATGCAGGACAATTAGCTGGGAAAGGAGCTGCATAGACGGGTGCCTGAGTCCTGTCTGTTTGCCATCATTTGTCTCAGTCTCTGGGATTTTGTGTGGAGGGGGAGGGTAGGCTAAAGGGAAAGGGGAAAAGGCAGATAATTCAGGTGGTGCCGAGGCTGGCTGAGGCCCACGCTCTGCTCTGCTCCAGGCTCCTGGGATGGGATGGGGGAGGAAGTACTTTATAGGAGAAACAAATGTGGGAAGGGTCCATAAAACTTTACTGCATTTCCTCTCTCGCCTCCCACAACGGGGGTGATTTCCTGGAGCCAAGCCTAGGCCCCCCACACTGGGGGAGGGTGCGGTTCAGGAGCTGGGCTAGAAGGCTGCTCTTACAGCCGAGAGGGAAAGGGAGCAGAGAGACTCTGGGGAGGGGCAAGGGGAATATTTATGATTATTAATGCTGATGCTCCTTGGATTTATTATAAGGACTGACTTCTCTGCATCCCACTGCCTAAGCTATCCATCTGTCTTTTTTTTTTTTTTTTAAACCCAGGAGTCTTTCCTCACCCCGTACTTAGCACGTAGGAGGTCTCAACAAATGTTTATTGATCCGTGCCCATTGCTACACCCTTCCCTTCCAATGGCACTCAGGCCAGGTTAGGGCACTCGTTGCGTCTCTCCCTGACTAGCACTCAGCAGTCTGCCCAACCTAGCAGCACCTCGGCTCCCCTCAATCTCTCTCTCTCAAATAAAATGTGTAATTTTCTTCAGGGAGTTATTTTAATTTTTTCTCCATGCTGAGTAAAACTATTGGGCAAGCGGTGAAGCGTGGAGAAGCACTGGCGTCTCCAGTGGGTAACAGTTAACTAAGAAAGAGGCCGTGGCGCCCGCCATCACGCACTCCAGCATCCTTGGCTGCCGAGGCCCGGAGCCTCCTCCCCAGGGGACGCACCGCCCCAGGGGTAGAACCAAGGGCTTGGCCGGGGCCCGGGGCAAAATTGCTCATACCGGCACTGCAGGGCACACCAGCCCCACCTGGCACAGAACGCCTCCTTCCTGCAGTGTTAAGGCCTCTTCCCTGGAGGAGCTGGAGGATTGACTCAAGTTGGCCAAGCTTGGGTAGACGCAGCCTCGCCTGCCTGCCCCCGCCCCTCCTGTCAGTCTGCAGGCCTGCCCCAGGCCGCAGCCTCTGCTTCCCCGGCCTCAGCGGCCGCAACCTACCCAAAGGCCTCGGACGCACTCCCCGACGCTGGGGCTAGGTACACCCCACACCCTTGCTTTCTCCCTGAGTGGAGGATTCCGCTTTGAAGCCGGGGGGGG